AAATTTAAGGATTTACCAAAAGGTTGTGTGGTTATTATTAGGGTGTGATTGATATATAATATTAATTACAAGATTAGGGAAAGTCCCGCATATTCTTAATTGGTTTAATTAAAAAATCTGGAGATTGATAATGATATTTTGTGGGCAAACTATTAATTTTATAAATGACTCATAATTGAATCAGACCTGTGAATCATACACAATGGAAATCCCTACAGCAAGAAGGAGTTAAACGAAAATTAAAAAAGAATATTTATCTATGATTTATTACATTGATACCGATTTCAAGGGTACAAGTAGCAGGATGCGTATAGAATGCCGCAGCAAGTTCAAATTAGAAGTTTTCAACAGATGAGTGTGAACGTGTTTATAATCGTTAATTTCACTGTGAAATGCTGTAGTTACTTTAAGTACACTGTACAGAATGCCTCAAAAGCAACAACGAAGTGCATATTAATCCAGTTTGAACGAGGCCACGTGAGGATAGATTTTTATTTCGTGAGAGCGTGGAAGGAATGGGTAGAGACGTCCCCACCGTGTTCAACCGTTGTCAGCAATGGTGTAGAAGATACTTCTACCAGAAACCGGGCTTCCTGGATATTGGAGGGAGAAAAGTTTGAGACATACGCAAGCTGCCACCGAGGAAATTCGGCCAGCAGTGACACCGGGTGCCACTGCTGCACGAGAACTGTTCAAAACAGTCTACTGAAGAGTGACCGTTGTTCAATACGTCTTATGATTTGTTTACCGCTCACTATCAGTGATGCATCATCATCTTATGGGCAAAAAGTACAATTGCTTGGGGCTTCACCAACAGTGGATCCCGAGCCAATCTTTTATGAGAAAATATTTCTCCAAAAAATTTTTCCAAAGAAAAATGCATGATGTCAAGACTGTACAGTACATGGGGCCCCTAATCCAAATTCTCATGGGCTCCATGCAACTGTAATGTAAAGTATTATTAATATTTTCATTCTAGAAATTCCGTGTACGCCATCACGGCTTATACAAAAGAAAATAGTGTAGATTTTTCTTATACAATATTTTAATTTTTGTTTATTGTATTTAAAATTTATTACGTAATTTCTATTCAATTAAAATTTAATTATTAAATAAAATATTTTATATTAAGTAATTCTATTAATTAATAATCTAACGAAGCAATATTTGAGAGAAATTACTTACTTAATTAATTAACTTTGTGTGTGCAAAACGTAATAACATGATTATTAATTTGTTTTCTATTGCCTAAAATATTTAATTAATAATTAATAAAACTGAATAATAAATTATTATAATAGGTTTTAACACGATTTTTTTTAGTGCTTGATTCTGCAGGAAAAGCATCAGGGATTTTTAGTGGAAAAACATGGTTACACGGAGATTACGATCAATGCTTAAATATTAAAGTTGGAGATAATAAAAAAAGGAATTCTAATCGAAAAATACACACAATTTATGGAAAATTTTGTGTTGTAAATTTCGGATTTAATTCATATAAATTTAAGGATTTACCAAAAGATGCTCACAATAGAAAAATTCTTCGATTATTCGAAAATGTTATAGTAAGTATCTATATCATAATGTTACATTATACAGACATATTATTATATATATATATATATATATATTCATATTATAGAAACCGTATCCAATAAATCAACTATATGAACTCCTTAGTTATAAAAAGCCAGCATTTCGTTTGGATTTATGCATTCCAAGTACATGCAGTCGAGAAGATTTAGAAAATATGTTACAATGGGGTAAGTTATAATAATACATTAAACACTATTACATAATTCTTTGACTTGTATGAATTTTCTACTTATACTAATGATATTTTATACGAATATATGAATATAAGTATTAAAAGACGAGAAACATTTTCATATTTGCCATCATAAATGAATATGAGAAACGAAAATTCAGCATTGATATCTATTTAATATAGTTGTGTTGTTATATAATATATTCACTGATATGGTTGTATGATATCAATGTACTGTGGACTGGATTAATAATACGTGTGATTTACTATTGTAGCATTCGAAGATCCTTATTTAGCGAAAGTAAGATTTTGCAAAGTAAAAGACGAGAAGATTACACTTTCTACAGCTCAAATAATTTGCATGTAAGTTCTTTAAATGATTTATTTTTATAAAAAAAAATTATAATACAAAACACTATTTTATAGCATTTATTTATTATAAATTTTATGAAAATAAATGGATAATTAATGATGTAGAATTAGTGATAAAGTATTTACAATTCAATTTTACATTANTGGGTTTTATAACAAATTATAAATGCTAATAACGAGTAAAATCTTCATTAAGCTCGACCACACTCGAGATATGACGCACGACTTCACTTTATCTCTCCACCCCGTCGACCTTCAGCTACTAAAATTTAATAGAATAAATCACCATAATAAACAAACCACCACGCATAATTTCAGAAATTTTTGACAAAAAGTACGGGAGTTATTAAGATTCAAAGACGGTGAACAAAATCGTGCTCTCCACACACTAACATCCATACATACAAAAAATTCCTCGATATTTTTTGCATTTCACGACGTTTCAAAGTTTAAAAACGTAAAAAGCTTGGGGGTCATTTTCTGATCGATCGCCTCATGCCCCCTGTTATACATAACATAGCCGGGAAAGTAAAAAATGCATGTATAATTTATATTTTAGATGTTAACATTGTTTAATGCTTACGTAAGACAGGTTTACACGGAAAGATCAAGTAAAAGACAAGGACATTTATTTGTTAGGATGTTATCTGTAAATTGATGTCATTATATTATATGTTTTCCTGTCACGATTTCCTTTTTTTAAAATTATATTCTTATCGATAAATGTGTTCAGTATCATTACTTTCAATCAGAAAAGTAATTAATCTTTATAAATGTTAACAAGTTTTTACAATAAGATTATATATTGAACCTATATTAATCTGTATAAAGTGTTTTTTAAATTAAATATAATATTAAAATTATATCCCGATAATTTGTAACTTGTAACACGTAAATAGGAGCCATTTTCCACCTTATCAAATCGCCCACGTGTCGCGTTGCTTTATGAAAAAGTAATAATAATAATAATTGTGGTAAAAAAATGCCCACACAGAAAAATTTTCTTATTCACAGTATATTATAAAGTAATAACAAGCAATTATTTATTTGTCCTCATCATAATGCCGAGCTGCAATTTTTAATCATATTTTTAATTTATTTCATTTAAAATATATGCTCTCCACCTTAAACTAGTAGCGTATTGCCCCTGTACATTATAATTTTCTTTCAACTACAGAGTCATGCTGGTTATCTAACTTATTCCTTTCAGGGATGAGGTTTTGAATTGAAATAATGTGACTTTCGGTTTGTGCAGAAGATTCTATATAGTTAATCGGGGCTTTCCGCCTCTTCGGTTTCCACATCTGGTTTCAACTTTCATCCACATAACTGCATTCTCGGAATTAAGGAATGATAGACAGACAGACAACAGTGGGAATTTATAGATCGGTGTTAGATGAAAGTGGAGACTAAATATAGAAATCATAGAAGTAGGAGTCCCCGATTAACTATATATCAACTTCCGGTCTAAACCGGAAGTCATATAACTTTTTAAGTTAAAAGCTGATTATAAATTGCAGCTCCGCATTGTGGCGATGTCACAATAATATACCAATAGGTTAGAAAAAAAGCACAAAAGTCATGATTACTTATGAAAATTTTTATATGTAGTATATATATTATTTATTATAAAATAGCAAAAAGCTTAATTTTGATGCTAAAGATGGGTTTTATAACAAATTATAAATGCTAATAACGAGTAAAATCTTCATTAAGCTCGACCACACTCGAGATATGACGCACGACTTCACTTTATCTCTCCACCCCGTCGACCTTCAGCTACTAAAATTTAATAGAATAAATCACCATAATAAACAAACCACCACGCATAATTTCAGAAATTTTTGACAAAAAGTACGGGAGTTATTAAGATTCAAAGACGGTGAACAAAATCGTGCTCTCCACACACTAACATCCATACATACAAAAAATTCCTAGATATTTTTTGCATTTCACGACGTTTCAAAGTTTAAAAACGTAAAAAGCTTGGGGGTCATTTTCTGATCGATCGCCTCATGCCCCCTGTTATACATAACATAGCCGGGAAAGTAAAAAATGCATGTATAATTTATATTTTAGATGTTAACATTGTTTAATGCTTACGTAAGACAGGTTTACACGGAAAGATCAAGTAAAAGACAAGGACATTTATTTGTTAGGATGTTATCTGTAAATTGATGTCATTATATTATATGTTTTCCTGTCACGATTTCCTTTTTTTAAAATTATATTCTTATCGATAAATGTGTTCAGTATCATTACTTTCAATCAGAAAAGTAATTAATCTTTATAAATGTTAACAAGTTTTTACAATAAGATTATATATTGAACCTATATTAATCTGTATAAAGTGTTTTTTAAATTAAATATAATATTAAAATTATATCCCGATAGTTTTTCTTCATATTTTGAATTAAAATTCTAAAAGTTCGATTTTACTTAAGGTATAGTTCGATCAATGGTCCTTAATAATAGTCAATGCATATTGAATCGCTTCTACAAATATACGTAAAATAGTGTTTAAATAATAAAATATATTTTAAAATAATTTTATAAAATTAGCAGTTCAACATTTAATTATAAAACATGTCAAAAGTATTGTGTCACAATTAATTACTTCACGTAGTATGGATAATGTCATCAAGGTCAACTTCATTCATACATTTCTCATTCAAAGGGTGACATAATATATATAAACTACGTTATAACTTAAGATTTAAAATGTATTTATTAATAATAAATTATAAAATACATAATTAATTTTATTAAATACAGGAATGAATCATCGAGGAGGGTTTGAGAGACACTCTCTTCTACATCCAACACTAAAACCATTGTTATAGTTCAAGTATAGATATATACTTGCATTTTTTAGTCACTAAGTGGGCATTATTTTTCATACATATGTTCGACCGGCCCTACAATAAAGGTGAGGAGTGCCCCAAGTATCGGAGACATACTACCTTGAAAATATGGTCTGAATTTGATTCTAGAACAGTACGCTGACTTTTTAACCGTCTCGGCCAAGATTGTTATCATTTATAGCAAGATTGTAACGGTTGAGTCATCACAGAACTCTGTTAATGACTCAATTGTTAATGATTCAATTGATCTCATTTTCATTTAATTTCTTTTAAATAAATTAAACGAGATAGTATGAAGGACAGTTCGAATATGTGAGCACAACTTTTAAAATATATTTCATCTGGATTGTAGAAGACCCCTCCATACAACTTTCGATTTATCAACCCATTTTTTATAACTGTTATAAAATTTCTATTTTTATCGTATGGAATGCCGCATATAATATGCTGTAGGTTTAGTTTACGGTTAAAAACTATTAATTATAAGAACGTTATTTCAACTTGAGACATTGCTCTTATGGAATTAGAACGGCTCTTTTTACGACGGGTTTTCAGAAAGATTTAAATCTTATAAAAGCCAGCATAATTTAGTTTGAATTCTAAGATAAAAATCGAAATTTTACATTAAAAAAAATCAGAATATAGTATTTATAATTATAATTATGTTTGTAAGTGACGAGGGATCAGAACGTGGAATTACCTTTCATCCGGTTGCAGTTACTCACTTGTTGAGCAATGCCACAAACCACAAATAAAACGATCGTTTTATAAGAACTTTTTGCATGATTTATCTCATTCCAGTCTTTCATTTTCGATCAATGCAAAGGAAATTTTGCTCCGGAAACATGTTTCTAAAATTAATCCCATTTTTCTACTTTTCAATTTTAATGGCACTCGTAAGAAATTGTGTAACTGAAGATATATTTTCTGAGAATCGAACTGAAATTTCAAAAACTGATCAAATTATCCGGGTAATAGATAAAATAGAAAATAGTTTCGAAAATTTAGCAAAATATATCTCTCAATTCAGTCTCCATTACATGTTGGAGATATCTGAAAAAATAAATGTGTCTTCCTCCTGTATGAAAACTGGTATGAGATTCTTAGCAGATTTAAGGCAATTTCGGGGGTGGACTTTTGGTTGTAAGTATTTTTTTTTTTAATAAAATTCTATAGTAAATTAATTGATAATATAAATCTTAAATGTCTTTACATTGATATTTGTAATGAAGGAAATTTTAGAGTTGATGTATCGAGTTCTTTCTTCCTTTATAAAATTAAAGGCAAATCAGTAAATCTACTATGATAAATTAAAAAATTAGAGCGTTTATTTATTAATATAATTCCAATAAAAGTATATCGATTTTAATTATAATTATTTATAAACTTTTTAAAAAATAAAATTGATTTAAATTAGTGATGTAACGAATATTCGGTTACTATTCGGTATTCGGCCTATTCGGCCTATTTTTCGCTATTCGGCCGAATACCGAATATTTAATCACTATTCGGCCGAATACCGAATAC